TGGATCCAGTTTTCCAACGTATATATTAGGTTGTCTCATAAATAGTGTCGCTTTTTTCAACCAAAAAATTTTCATCTAAATCCTCATGCTTTTACATCGAGTCATATACCATTCGAAAGAGAATTGTCTGCTCTACAAATGTTGTGTTCTTCTTCCATCTATGTTCCATGGTTTTCAAATTTTAGGCCTGCGAAATGGGAGGTCCCGCCGACAAAAATTGACCAAACCGACAACTAGCTCTAACTTTATTTTCCCTTGCGGAGAAATCAATCAATGATGTACCCTCTACTTACTCATGACCTCTTCTGAACATTCCACCCTTAGGTTGCCGAAAAAGGTTTGCCCTGTTTCTTTTCGAATTGGCCGACCGATAAGCCATGGCAATTTTCAAATTGAAATTCTTCCTCTGAAACGCTATTGTTTTATATCAACTGGTGTATCTTTTGTGAGCACTTCTTCTGCTCTATTCGCTCATTTGTTTTGTTTTAATGTTTGTTAGGAATTAGCTCGAATTTTAGGTGTTTAGGTATAAGGTGCTTTATCCACGAAAGTGACCGCATTTCTTTGAAAAAAATTATCCCTTAGAAAATGAGAAAATCAACCAGGCGTACATTCCTAACTTAGTCATGACTTGTTCTTCAAATTCTACCAGTTTTTCAATGTCTCGGCTATAAAAAAATTTCGACCTAGATCTCAGGTAATGGTGCTTGACCGTCGAGTTCTGGTTGAAAAACCAGGTCTGGAAATGGAATGACGCGACTTGTTGGGAAACCTAATAGTGTAATGTTTAGAAGAGGTCATGCATAAGTAGAGGGTACAGTATTGATTGATTTCTCCCAAGGGGAAGATAAAGTTAGAGATAGTTGTCGGTTTGGTCAATTTTTGTCGGCTGGACCTCCCATTTCGCAGGCCTAAAATTTGAAAACCATGGAACATAGATGGAAGAAGAACACAATCTTGTAGAGCAGACAATTCTCTTTCGAATGGTATATGACTCGATGTAAAAGCATGGGATTTAGATGAAAATTTTTTGGTTGAAAAAAAGCGACACTATTTATGAGACAACCTAATATACATGAGCGGCACAATAACCATTGCCCGACCTATTTTGCATATCTCTACAACTTTTCGCCTTCTTCTAAGCAGTTATAGTAAACTATCGATAATTCGACCGATGTCGAGAAAGATTGATGTTTTTTCCCAGGAAGGGAGTATAGCATAGTCATCCATAATTATCATTATTGAGAGTGCTGCAATAAACGGCAGGGTGTTTGTTTCAGATCCAAGCCTCTGAACAATAAGAAAACAGATTGATGCCGCGACAAGCCATATCAGGTTTCTCTCTCACATACTTCGTTATCAAAAAATCTCTTGGTTTATGCTTCTCGTGTGCGAGAGACGCCATACATAAATATTACTATTTCAATTAAAGAACTGAGGAAGTTAGTCCACAAAGAAAGTAAGGCTAAACGCATTTGCTGTTGATCAATCCCATCTTTGGATTGCCCGCGTACGCATTCTAGTTCCCATTTGCTACATCCGTACGTGGCCGTGAATGCGATGTGGCCTATACAATGACTTGCGGGGGCCAGCCGATGTACAAGTCAGTGTTTTTTATCCTCCCAGACAAGTCTGGTACCAATTAACCGACCCCGGAGGGATGGAAGGCTTGGTTGGCCCGGGCGACTCACGACCCAGGATTTGATCCCCGGACCGCTCGCGTGGTAAGCGTGCCACTTGCCACTACACCACTTCCGCCCCTCCACAAGAAAGGACTGAAGAAACCGAGCCCTTTGGGTTCCGCGCTGGGGACGTATGCTGAACTTTTGGGTGAGGCGGGATGGTACCCCAGCGGTTCGTGACTTCGACTTGCCCCACCCCGGTTGGTACGATAGCGAGCCTCCCTAATGAGCTGGCTGCCAGCGTGGAGCAAGTGCTGGGCAGCTGCGCGTTGGGTCCAGCAGCTCTGCCAGAAAGGTCTGCGTTTCGCTCACCCAGGATGGAAGCCTTGGAGAGGGGACGGACCCGTCTTCGTTTGAGGCTTAGTTCGTGCACCCTATCCCCTCCCCAACATTCAGCATACGGTCCCAGCCGAAGCGCCAAAAGGGCTGGTTTGCTTACGTCCATAGAAAGTACAGCGTTTTAACAGCAGAGACACGTAAGACGTGTCGAGTTTCACCTTATCAGAACCCCTGGATAGGAGTTGCGACCCCGCATTTCTAGGAGTGATGAAAAAGAAGTAAGGCAACAGAAAAATCTAAATTGTCAAAATGTCAAATTCCAAGGTTGTCGTTTTTTGTCGTTTTTTTCTGACTGAGGAAATTCCAATATGAATAAAGTTAAGATAGTGTATATCAATTTTTTATGTTCGGAATTGTGCCTTTCACATGGCCCATAAGCGATCAGAGGCGAAGCCTCGGTGGAAATTCCAACGCATTCGTTTCCTATAAATGTCTCTACGTACCGTACAGACAAAACCAGTGAATAAAATGTCAACGTTATTCGCTTAATATTTATTTTCCTCTCCTTTTAAAATTCACTACTTTTCTGCTTTATTCTAGCTTACGTGATGTGAACTTTTCTTTGCACATTTCAATCAAGGTGCTTTCAAGGTGTAAAATTAATCAGTTTGCGCAGGTCTTAACAGCTCCCCCTCCCTCCCAAAGCAACAACCCCAGAAGAGGTCGTATCGAAGAATCTATTGTGGTTTGGATAGAACAGTAGTGTCAAAAATGTGCGTCGCGGCTAAGGCCGATGTCAGACTTTGCGAATCGCGCGATTCGCTAGCGTCTGCGGTCGCGTCGCGGCCAGTGAATCACTCAATTGGCTGGTACCGCAACGCGACCGCGGACGCTAGCGAATCGCGCGATTCGCAAAGTCTGACATCGGCCTGAAAGTGCGCGACAATGGCGTTAGGGCCTTACAAAGTGATCTGATGGCGAAAAATATGAACTTATGGACGAGATAACTCGTGCATATTCCATGATACGCAACGTGGATTACGACGTATCGGCTATTCTAAATACCCGCAACTTTTTGAATAATGTAAATCAAAAGTAAAATTTCACATTATAATAGATCAATTTCAGCTTTCATCCACCGAGATTTGATCACGAAGACGGATTGATTCCTTTTGAAGATTGTGCTGCTACTTCGCTTAATGTCCTGTATGTTGTATATACTACGACTCTTATAGCCGCCTATTGTGACGTTTTCGTTTTATAAATTATTTTTCTCACATAACCTTGTCTATTCCATAATGCACTACACATACCGTCTGGTTCCGAGAACTAGAAGCGCGTCCAGTGCAGACCGCACAACACAAGTGACGATAATAAGAGAAAGAGATACTTAGCAAATGTCAGTTGTAATTGGTAACAACTGATATATACATCAACCACGGCCACTCCTTTCACTTGATAGAAAAACGATCTGAATTTTGAAAGCCGTCGTCAGTACGTGTGGTGCGTCGCACTCCGACCCGTTCCTGGTTCTCGTAGCGCCGAGTATAGAACAAGCGCTGCCTCTGAATGGACTGAACGCAGAGTCAACCCTGCGTTGCGCAGTTCTCAACGGCCACGTTGCGCAGTTTCGCCCGATTAGACACGTTCTCTCGCGCGAACATTCACACTCGCATGCTCGAGCCGTCTGTGCGTCTCCGCCCATACAGCGTGCGTTGAGGATCTCTCAACGTGCCGTTGCGAACTGCGCAACGCAGGGTTGACTCTGGAATGAACAGTAGCTCATAGATGCTGAGTGAGCAGTCGCAGAGCGCGAACCCTCCTGAGTGTTGCAATTTCCGGTGGTTGTGCGACAAAAAATAGTGGAGACCACTGCGACTGAGGTCGGGGGAGGTATTTTGGTGCAAACAGTTCGCTACCGGACGGGTCCGTCGCGCGGCCAGTAGGGCAGTGTCGGCGGGACCAGTCACAGCGCATACAGCAGTGAATTTGCGTCAATTCAAATACATGTAACATTGTACGTCCTACATCGCACATCACGCACTGCGACTCGTCCGCTGACTCTGCCTTTTGCCGCTCGACGGGAGCCCCTGTGGGGTACTCTAACAGTTTATGAGGATTACAGTAATTTTCGATTTTTGATGGTGAAAGAGTTTAAACCATTTCTCTTCTTTGGAGAGGAAACTAGGGTATTGATCTGTTTTAATTCCAAACGCTTGCAATGAGGAAATTTCGTCTGGTATTATTGAAAGCCGTGGGCTTGTCCGTAGTGAAAAGTCCCCTCGCAGAATGTCGCAGACAGAATTTTTACCCATCTCATGCGGTGACGGAGCAATACATATTCATCCTTCCAAAAAATCATAACATTTATCTGATCCTAAGGTAGACATAAGGTTCCAGTAGAGTTGATACAAGCTATCCTACTTACTATAAAGCGCTTCGTCTGTCGTCTGTCGTTCTGTCTGTCGTTCTGTATGTCTGTCACGAAATTCCCTAGCTCCTCGGGATCCGCCTGGAGGGACCGGGTCAAGTGTGGGATGGGTGGGCAAGGGTCTCACGTAAGTACAAAACACACATCAGCTAAGCGGAGCCCCGCCCACAGTGGGCGTGGCGTGCGTCGAAATGAAGTGTACTGACGACCGAGATTTCAATTCTCTTAGAAAACGACCTCGAAACTGGGCCAAAAAGTGGGTAAAGGTGTGCATTGGTAAGTCACATCGAATTAGGGAGACCCACCCCCGGTGGGCGGGGCGTTCTCCAAAAAAGCAGTGCTTTATGAAAAATTTCATAACTCGGTTGGGAGAAAGCCTACAGAGCAGAAAACAAATTGGTGTAGGGGAGCAATGTCTAAGGTGTTTCCAGCATACATGACGGAGGCCGCCCACAATGGGCGGAGCGCGCTCTGAAGTGTACAGCATTTTCTACAAGTCCTCATAATTCGGGCCGGAGAAGTCTTAGTGAGCCGGAAAAAGGTGGATAGAGGTGGGTGGAGTGGAGGCCAACTGTCAGTGGGCGGAGCACGCACCTAAGTGGGCGGAGTTTGCCAAAAGTGTCGTAATTTGGTTCCAAGAGGTCCCAGAGACCGGGGAAAAAGGGGTAGAGGTCGGCGAAAGGAAGGGGGCCAAATGCTATTGGTGGGCGGGGCACGCACCGAAGTAGGCGGAGTTTGCCACGAGATTTATTGTCCGGAAGCAGTCCGGAGACCGGAGAAAGAGAATTAGCTGAGAATTCAGATATTCGTGGTGTATCAAGCCAAATTTGAAAATTTTCGTCGCACCATCAAAATTCGCCGCAGATCTGTGTTGCGCGCGCAATGCGTGCGGCGCCAACTGGTGTACGTATATGTGGATATCATAGCTGCTGCACTACATTTCTTCATGAAATAATAGAATTCAACAAGAAGCACGATTTGGAGATCAACTGGATTCAACGCAATCAATCATAGGGCGTCAATTGATCTCAAGGTGCAGTTTTGTAAACATACAGATGCTTACTTTACCAATGAAAGATCCACTTTGCTACGAGCAGCTCGCAATATTTAGTCCCGTAAAGATGGAAGAAAGCCTTCATAACAATAAAACGAACGATTTTCAACAAAGATTCCACATTAGACATCAGTATCCTGTTGCAAAGTTAAAACTAGACACTACGGACACTACACGGTGAGACATGGAGAGGAAGTTACCACAAAAGCACCGGCATTAACATATCTTCTACTTACATCACAGCAGATTTCAATACTATCAGCCATAAATTTGACTAGAGCAAGTGGAGAAATTCGCAATAACGCTGAAGGTTACAACGAAGTCATACTAGTGGTTTTAACAAGATTGATCTCGGATGAAAAAGCTCAGTTCTGAAGAGCAGACAACAAGAAGTCAATGTTACGGTAAAACGTCACAAAAATAACAGCATAACAATAAAACGTACAAGAAAGAGTTATTAGGTGAAATATGGGTATGAGTGCTATAAAATATAAGGTATTACTGCCTTCCGATCAAGTGGATACGCTTTGAAAGTCCTTCGGTACCATCGATGAGTAATTTGGCCAGCAAATAATTGATTGACGAGGACAAATATAAAAAGGAACTGAAAAATGGATAAAACTACGACTGGCATTAACACTTTGACGACAGCGCGGGACACATACGTCCCGCACTCTCACACGGAGAGACTTGTTTTTCCTAAATTGTGCCTCCATTTTCATGCTTCAAGACTGGCCCTTCCTACTGTTGGATACGAAAAATAGTTCTCTCGTTACCACTAATGAAATTATTGGTAATGTAGTAACTGTTAATGCAAATTTGTAAAATAAGGTGGGTAGGTTCGCGCACAAGGGCGTGTCGTCAACGTGTTAAATAAGCTTGAGGAATGAAGCAATCAGCGTATCGAAATCACTTTTAACACAAACGCCTATACCACTCCCATACAAAACTTAAGGGCCTTTCTGCATATTAGCGTATGCACCGCTTTGCAAAGTCAATGACCCTGCAGTGTTGAGCATTTAGTTAGCGCGGACACCCCACGGTCCAGTAGACGATAAAAAGCACCATTAGCCGTCGCTTATCCCCCGCAAACGTTAAGGGTTGGTAAGGTGGACCACTGAGCAGTAGGTCGATAACAGAAGATTATTCAAAGATCATGAGAAACTGCGATTGATCTTTTCCATATTTCACCGCCCCTAAGTAAGAGTCAATCTCCTGCAATTTGCAAAAGTACTTAAGTTAAACGGGATGAAAAACACACCTTATAAGCATATGCGCTTGGAAGCACCATCCACAGTGAAAGATATATACCAATTTCAAATAGGAAATGAGGGCACGATACATAAGTCAAACCAGCCTCCATAGCAGATTCCATGAGCGTAATTGTAAATTAGTCCTGAACCTGGAGATGCAAATGCTGAATAAGTCTTCACATTCGCAACCCAGTAGCACTTGCATTATATGTGAAGAAGGTTATGTAGAGGTGAACTAAAACGAGACTGAAATACGAAAGCAACAAACCGTCTGGTGCTTTCCTTAGCGCAGCAATATCTCTAGAAATTAGGTGCTGCTCTCGATTGCAGAACAAGGAAGAGCGCTACTCCAAACCATTGGCATGGAGAGATTTCCGACGTGGAAAACACAAGACCTTAAACAAATGCTCAAAAGTTAAATTCACACATTCTGAGCAACAAAAAAAAACGTCTTCTGTCAAGATGAGGATTTACACTGGCAAAACTATTCAGTTTTGATTGCAAAAAAAGAACCGTGAATGTTGCTAAGTTTCTGGGATGCGTCGCGAATCAAAAGCGATATGTTGACCGAATCTTCAACCTGACCATCGGTTAGTTCACCACAGATATTGTGATAACCAAGCTCAAAAAAATAACCAGCAGAAAAATACTAACAAATCGTGAGGAAAAATCAAGAGGTAATTACTGAACAAACTTATCTTACGCTGTCATCATCAGAGTCAAACAACAAGTGGTGGAAAACTCAATTTTGTTTTGAACAAAGTAAGGCAAAAAATTTGGCTTTCAAAACAAAGTTGTGATATCTAAAGCCATGCCCCAGGATCACATTGGTGTGGCTCTGGCACACGAATGCGAATGTGTTAGTGCGAAATGGGCCGACACTAAAGAAAAAAGGAAAAGAATCCGTCAAAAACGCTAGGTTGAGGGCTTACTCACCTTCCTAGTCGGCTGTGCTAAAGGAAATGAGAGACTGAGAGCGCTACAGATGAGAGAGGCGCCAGAAAACAGCCTGGTAAAGAGATTAACCAACTCTGGGCACCTCCCAGCAACTACTGTTTGCAAGGCCCAGCATCTTCTCTTCTCGGGTTGGTTTCCGCGCGTGGAATGCACATTGTGACTGTCCTCTAGGAGCCAATACTATAGACAGAAGGGGAGTGTTCACACGACCTCAGCCTGTGATGTGCCTTTAAGCGTTCACAAGCTACTCTGTCTTACATTTCGATTTTTCTAGAACTCGAATGCCTCCCATGGAATGGTGTCGCAACTGGTTGCCTAATTTGCAGCCCGGGAGCCGTGCCACCCCGACTGTCTTGTCCCAACATTGACAAACTTTAGCCCGATTTCATATCCGAAATCTGTCTTCAAAGACCAGGTCCATATAATCTGGAACATTATCTAAATAATGGCTTTGATTTTTAAGATGAGCCTATTGGTTCGATCCACACCCTAGAGAACTTGACTTGACCATTCATCTCAGAAAAGTAATGATCTGTTAAGGAACAAATCCGAAAATGATGAAGTCTAACTAAGCCAATAATCGAATTGCCCCAATGGGAACGCGACCAATTCCTCTGCGAAGGCTAACTAGGATTCACACTACGCCAGCATTGTGAAATTGTTACACAGTAAGCCTCCGCCGTTTTCAGTCGCCGCCAGGGTAAGTGGCAGGAAAAAACAACGTACGCATGCTTGAGATCATCCTTTTTCATTAATTGGAGACATTATAACGTGTGATACTGTGATTAGATGATGACCAAAAATAAAACTCATTACGAGTAACCATAAGTACTAATGAACACAGATCAACCTGCATTTCTGGAAGGAGAAAATTTTAGGCCTAAAAATTAGTAGGCCCTTACCGTAGCTATTGGTAGCAATGCCTTTCGATTCGCAGACAATCGTGAGTGGTAGTATGGTATAGTGAATGAGCCCTACCACATAATGAAACAAGTTCATTGTGGTATCCGAGTAAACAGAAATGCACAGCTGAATAATGGATTGGATAATATATATGATATGCATTATACAAATATATTGCGCCAAAATTCACATCAAAAATTAGTAGCAAAGAAACCCACAGATTCCCAAAGTCTTCGTACAACATGGAAGAGCACCAGACTCAAGGCAATAATTGTGGTGGACCAGTTATCTGGAAGAAGTCACAATTTAGATGCAAAATCGCGCTAGCATTTCATTATAAGATGTCAGCGCTCCTCAACACTACCTTGATCACGTCTATATGGTTGAACCCAGCCCTGACTTGACGGAATTTCTCGTTCCATCACCTGCCAGATGCAAGCACAACTCCACAAACGAAATGGCCTTCTTGCATTTTACCTTTATTTTACCGGAAAGAAGTGCCCAAATAGAATTTGAGGAAGGGGATTAGGATGGCTTTTGGCTTCACTGATGTGGCTTGCAACCCAGAGCCACGCTGACCAGGCGCCGAGCAGCGCGGAGATTCCCCGTGTGCTGTTCCGTCCATTTAATGATGACACTTATCCACCAACACCAACAAACATTTACAATTCTCTTAGGTTTTCAAACCCTAGATAAAGATGCACTCTCTTTGATGTCATTTTCACAATCGACGCGGGTCAGTATTATGTCGTCCTGTAAATGCAATAAATCTTGGTCTGGTACGCGATCTGGTGCAGAGCCTGTCGAGAGTAATTGCTTTAATTATTATTTCCTCTGTCCACATCCACCAGGTAAATCCACTAAATCGTTGAGGTCACTACGCATACTTCACTAATGGGAATGTTACGATTGTAAGACTTGCGAGTTGGTTTTGCAAATTTCAAAACACTACTTGTTAAAGCCAGTTCCCCCAAAATATAAACTAGTTTTTGGATCCACGTATCGTTCATTAACTTACAGTCGAGCAAGCCACCAAACTATTGAACTGAGGACATATTCACAGAAATTGCCAAATCGCCAACATTCAAGGGTCTCGTACTGCTAAGGTCTGAGGAAGACATAAATTATTTGAGTTTCATACCGACTCTCCGAAGTGGATAAATCCGTTTAGAACGAGACCCAGCAACCAACCTCTCTACAAGGATATAGTACACCATCTACATTGACCTTGGATTGTTTTTCGCTTGAGTTGTACGTGTGCGCAACAAGGGTAATGTGATTAGTTTGCTCGAGAAAAAGTTCCGCATCTAAGCGACTTATCAATGAAAATGATGGATCTTCACCATTTTTACAACAAATCCGTCCAGACATGCAATAAAGGCGATCCCACATCAAGGACTTGATCTAGAAAGGGAAAAAGGCGAGGCAGACAAAATTCGAAGGCTACGCTTACTTTAGTTTCAACCTTCCGACCGAAATTTCAATGGGAGGTGGAGTCAGGGCAGTTTCGATAATCGCATCATTCACAACTATAATTCTCTCTAAACTACTGCTGGACGCGTAAAACAGGGACTAGACTCCTCGAAACTATCAGAAGTTGTTACACCTAAACGCTATCATCGCATTCTAACAACAAGAGAAGATGTTTCTTCAGTAACTCACACTAGGGAAACCGTAGATACAGAAATGTTAGATGACTACGGAATGAAGTCGAAAAATCTCAATAAAAGTGGTGATAAATCATAGCTCCACGTGTTATGTGGTAGTCGTCACCACGACTGTCAGCAGCTCATTCTGCTGGTCATGTGCCGCCAAATCAAAGGTAATGATAAAATCAGATACAGCACTGTCTTCGAAACAATATCACGCAATAGCACTAATGAGAAGGATATAACTCTCTCAAGTAAATTTGACCTACGCTGTGGTTTCACTGGAGTGAGGAGAATGAAGAGTTTCTTCAACGGCTGCGAAGGAGCTGTCATGTCATGTGAAATGGCGCCACAGAAAAGGAGCCATGATGCGACCCAAAATGAGCCTAATAGATAAAAATGCCAAAACCACCTAGAATGAAGTTTGGATTAGAAGTCGAACTGGGACAAAAACAAAAGACTCACTTCTTCGGAACAGAAATCGCCTGTATAAACTGAATCCTATCCTTTAAATAGAGAGCTGAAACTCCGTAGGTTGTTAGTGCAGGTATGATAGAAGGACATGATGGAAAGAACAGAGTGAGCATGCATGCCAAAGAGAGGCCCAGGGTGACAGATACCAAATAGAACGGCAACAGCGGCACCATGGTCTGGAATTTTCCGGTCGTTGCTTACATCTATGAAACACGTGAGAAAAATGCACATAAAACTGAACAGGACATGGAAAACAATTCATACAATGCGACTTCACTGCTTCAAACAATCGAAATTTAAGAAAACGGTGATAAAACGATAACTAAAGAAAAAACCGCCGAATATATCGAGGCATCTTGGAGTGACGGCACATAAGCTCACATTCTAAAGAATCTATCGATTGTCGAAGCCTCAAGCGGCGGCAATGTATATCGAATGACGCTTTTTTGGACATCCACGACACTGCATAGTGCATAAAACAGCACGTGGATATTCCGATGGAGTGCGGTGGAATTGCTTTGATAGGAGACACAGGTTTCAGAAATACATACAAAAAGGTTTCGCAAAACGATTTGATTGCCGTAACCTTTCAAAAATTGCAGGATATGGTAGACGCTTTGCGGTAAAATAAATATATACTTTTTGATTCCAGTAATTTGTTCGAATCTGTTCCAATCTATTTTTCTTTGCTGTAGGGTAGCAAATCCCACATACCTAATTTAACGATGATCTTGGAGCAACTGATAGAGGCTGACAGCTCGATGAGTAAACAAAAGTCTTTTGCATTGAAAACAACTATTTCCGCTCAAACAGCTCCCAGAAAAGGCGGAATTAAAGCGCAGGCGCGGATGAGTCATGCCGTAATGCGCACAGAAGCGTAAGAGAGACAGTTTACGAGACTGAAAGAAGAGGCATTCAGAAAGAAAGGCAAACTACCAAAGAAAGACACAGTCGAAACGAAAACGAAAAGTGGGAAGTCAATGGTAAGAGGACAGAACAGACGCACGTGAGAGATAAAAAGCTTGCGAAAAAAGTACATGCAGACTTAGAGAGTATTTGAAGGAGTGGTGGAAATGTCAGAAATATCTATAAAAATATGAATGCTACCAAACTTGAATTGTATGGTATGATATAACATTGGCTTGTACGTGGAAGGGGTTATCCGCATTCGAATGTCGTTATAGTTCTGGTAAAAGAAAAATGCGTCGGCGCACTCTCGAGGAGTCGATCAACCATATACGGCTCTTCAGTCGTTGCTTACAACAATACTTCTTATTAGTTGGCTTCATAGTAAACTAAAGAATAGCGACAAAACATGTAAAAAGTTGACATAAACAGGCGTGTCCGTCGCTGCGGAAAAAGACGAACTGCGGCGGCCCAGCCAGTCGACTACATATAGGTAACCGTCCCCGCAAATTACGGTGCGTAATACATCGGCACCAATCTTAGGATGGCCTTTCACGCGCTCTAAGATTTACGACCTACTGAAGCTCACATTTCAAAACCATCACGAGGTATGACGAGATTAAGGTCAGCAAACAGCATCCCTTGTCCTTAACTTTTATGTCTCCATGTAATTCTTGTTTAAATATGAAATCATAAGTCATTAGGAGACAGTCCCGTTCGGAAGGGAGGACAAAAAACTGCTGGAATACTGCAAAGGAATCGCAATATGAAATTTAAAATGTACCCATTACTGGTAAGATTTTTTGAAATCTTCAGGCTTCAAGAACATAAATATTCGCCATCACAAAGTCGACAAAAAACACATTTAAAACTAAGAGATCTTGACGAAATACATATCCTTTGTGCTGATTAACAATTTAACGAGATTCTTACCAGGTTATCACTGATGCAAAAACCAAGTTTCATCAAAAGCAACCTTTGCAATGTTTCGTATTTTATATGTGCAAACTTGTCAACTATAACATATCTTGAGAGTTCTCAGGCAGAAAACATGAACAAAAAGAAAGTATATCAGTTCTTCAGACACATAATCGGGCTGCAGAAAGAAAAAAAACGAAAAATCGAATCGCGACTGCACTCTGGTGTTCGATCGATACGAGGGCAGCTCAGCAAATAGGCCAATGTTGCAATGGCAGTATTCGTTGGAATTAACATTCCATTCTTTTACGCAATTTCCATACCAGTGAGACCACGAGCGTGAATGACTTCTGCTGCGTCGGAAGCCGTACGAGTCAAATGACTTCCAATAAGGATGGAAGTGTTGTCCATGGATCGCAAAGGCAATTCATTGCAAAAAACTGAGTCACTGCCTCACAAGCAAGTCGATGAAGAATAGGATGTACGTCCACAACTTGGACGACAACAGCAATGAAAAAATGAACTATTTGCAGGAATGTTTAAGCTTATTTTAAGGTTGGTCTGATGAGGTCATTACTGCCGAAAGCTCACCAATAAATAGTACAATTGCCAGAGCTTCAAGAATATACATCAAACCAACATCAAATGAAGCTTAGAGAGCACTATTTTATGATTACCACGAGTAATAAAACAGGTTCGAATGATAACTCAACCCAACCTCGCTCGGTATCAGAGAGGAAACGCTGGTGGTTGAAGACGTCATTAGAAACCCGTACGATCGAATTTCTGTCTGCGAAAAGACAACGATTCTCCAGAATCAATGCAACTAGAAAAAATGGTCACGTGCGTGGCTCCAAGCGGGTTTTTTATTACCAAACGATATTGATCAAGCTGGAAGCGTTTTTACGATGAAGCGATAAAAGATGAAATGCCGGGGCATTCCAACCACCCTGAAATTTTATACATTTATTTATTTTAATACACTCCAAGGTGTGGAAAGCAATAGAACTATAGAAGACCTACACGTGGGTTCACCATTCTGCGCCATAAAAGTGGACAGTGAATAAACTGTATATGTTGTGCTTTCCTAGATGAGGTAGCGGAAAGTCATCTAGTGAGATAATCGTTTCATTTAGGAACGCAAGGAGAGCGATTCAATTTTGCAAAAAACGGACCAACATGCCCGCTTCCCGATAAAAAAGTTTTTTCAAAGTATGACTTTTTTCCCAAATTATTGTGCTTTCGCGAGGATTCATCGCAACATAACTTCACCCCGAAGTAGCAGTATGCAAAATCAGAGATTGCTTTTACAGTCGATATCTGAAAGTTGGGGTAGGCGTGTCACCGGAAGTGACGTGCACTTGATAGAAGTGCGTGGATAAGCTGTTGCCAGCATGCTTTGCTGATATCCATCGATGTATGTTGGAAACAGCTATCCACATAGCTTCTATCAAGCGCACGTCACTTCCGGTGACAGGCCTACCCCAACTCTCTGAGATCGAGTTATCTATTGAGAGCCCTCATCTACTATTTGTACATCACAAAGTCCTGAACTTACGGTTGAGAAAAGCGACGACGACTGGCAGCGGAAGTTATACGACGAATGGCTTTCTCTTCTTGTGTATAAAACTTCAGGGTAAGTCTACGTGAGGCCGACCCAACTGCAAATGAAGTGTGCAAGCTATGACGTAACATCAAGTTCGAAGGGTAGTCAGCAAGCATGCCACTAATTGACGATGTTTGTCTTCGGTTCACGGACATGTCGAGAATTGATTTATGATTGTTGCAGCCGAGTGGCATGAGATGCACTCTATTTAACCCAATTATATAGTTCGGATACTCCAAACGGCTGGTACGTGCTGTGGAAAACTAGTGAACCCAGATAACTTTGACTTTGTAACAAAAAGGTGTTACTGTTACGAAAAATTAAACAGAAAGCCAGTTTAAGGCAATCGCAAGCTGTCCGTCTTTGTTTATCGATTAATGTGATCAATTAAATGAGACAATTTCTTTGCAAGATCTCAGATTATTTATCTAACAAGAATCCTGGGTTGTGAGCAAAACTTCAAAAGTTGGATTCTCTTTCATGCCCCTGTTTTATAGTTTCAGTTAACAATCACAAACTAGCCAAAATCTGTTAAATTAGTTTTCTTACTTTTCGGTATATGTTTGAGTCCAGCTAACCATTCCGACATTTCTGTTGACGGATCTTGAATATGATTATAAATAGGAAATTGGATAAAAATAAAGAACAGGGATCAAGGCACGTGAACAAAAAAGAAAGGTTTACGGACTACTTGATTTTTCCTCAATGGTCCTGCCGCGATGGCTAGAGCACAGACGATTAGAGAACGGGTGAATGCCCTAGGACTAAGCCTTGGAGAGGAGAGGGACCCGCGAGAGAGCGCAGAGGCGGTTGAAGGTACGATTCTGCAATGCCCTATACTATCGGAAGGGATGAGAGTCTGATTCCACCACTTGAAAGGAGAGAGTAGAAAGAAAGAACCCAAAGAATCGAGATTAGACACTGGGATGCTGGTCTACGATCTCTGAATGGATACATGATCTAAACAGCCGAGAGTCGGTGGCGCAATCTATAACTGCTTTCTCCTCTCCTTGACAACCAGCGATGCGAACATCGCCCCCCCCCCTGACTGTAAAGCACCACAGCTACATATTACAAAGCCAACTCATGAATGATAGATGATCGAATGAAGACTCGAACAGTCAAGCACAACTTGATGAACGAGAAGAGAGACTGACAAACTGATAAATGCATCACCTACAGAGAAAGACGGCCTTTCTTTTAAGATCCACTAAAACCTCTCCAGCTCTGAAGAAAAAAAGCACGGTCTAAAACCTATTTTCTTTGTGAGAAAACACGTCAAATGTCGCAATGGATCGCTTCAAGCGCCTCCTTTCCCTCACAGTCCTCACCCACGTCAGGAAGGAGTAAACATATCAATATCCATAAAGCAGTGTCTACAAATGCACTAATGAACTATGGTGGTCTCAGGAATTCATGAAAAGAACGAACCATACGTTAATCAGGAGAAAGGAGACTCCAAATAATAGGAGTGAGGCATCCAATATTAGGCGTAAGTGACCGCGCCAAACCGTGGCATGCACACTGTGCGCCTCATCTTACGCTACGACTTGTTGTATGGGCTATCAGTACGAAAGTTTGCGGAGGAGAGGTGTCGTCATTCCCGCATATATTCGATTACGACTATCATAGAGTAATAAGACACACTAACGTGAAGAACAGCTTCGACTAGAAGTATTCAGGTGAGGGATGAGGAGAGGGCATCTTGGTGGAGCAGGGTATTTGACACTACAACAAACACAT